ACGGCTCCAAGCGAGGAGATCAAAGGGCCTCACCCGTGCCCTGGCAGAGCCTGAGGCAGGCCTCCTCTGTCTTGAAGTTGTTGCCGTTGCCACCACAGCTGCCGTAGTTGAAGCTCTCGCACTTCCTGGCCTGTGGGTTGTGGAACCAGCGCGGGACCAGCGCGTCGCACGGGCCAGGGTCGGACTGCAGCTTGCAAACCGCTGCGGGCAGAGCGCGGGAACTTGCAGCCGCCCGCAGCCTGCGGGGCTGGCAGACGCCACTGCGCCCAGCCCGTGACCCCCCGCAGAGGTGCTGGGGCCACAGGGCAGCCCCCAGCTGGGCCAGGGGCCGATCCTGCACCCCGGGGCTCTGCCTCTTGCCTTGAGGGTGGTCCAGCTCCGCTCCCTGGCCAGCTGCTCAGCAGCACCTGCCTCCAGACCCCCGTGTTTGGGGCCCCCCAGCCTGTCCCCACCACAGCCCCCAAGCCAGGCGCGTGGGGCTGGGGAGCACCCCCTCACCTCGGTCCCCGCAGGCGGCCACACAGTCCTCCTCGGTCTTGAAGTTGTTGGCATTGCCCTGGCAGCCGCCGTACATGAAGAGCTCGCAGCGTTTGGAGGAGGCGTTGTAGTAGAAGCGGGGAATTCGCCCCCGGCACGGGCCCTGCTCCGGAGGCAGCTTGCACAAGTCCGCCCGCCTCTCTGGGGGAGAGAGGGAAGCCGGAGTCAGGGGCTGGGGCCCTGGGCCCATCGCCGGTGCTCCTGGGCACCGAGGTCCCCGCACGCGGAAGGCGCTCGTGCTCACCTGCACCTTCCTGAGCCGGGGCAGGCCGGAGGCAGAGGCAGAGGGCGAGGAGCCGTGGCAGGAGAAAGATGCTTCTGGCCGTCATGGTGCTGCTGGGAGCTTTGAGCCGGCCCGACTTAAACCCTACAGCCGGGGTGGGGCTGACCCGGGAGGGGAAGTTGCTCCAGAGCCCCGGGGGCCTTGCCAAGCTCACTCGACTTGGCCGTAAATCAGGCCCCGGTGAAGCAAGGAAACAACCCGGCTCCACCTCAGGTTGCTCAGAGAGGCGAGGGGGAAATGGGAGGCACCCCCAACGTGACCCGGGGGGTGCAGCCTGGGGTGGCCTGCGAGCTGCGTGCGGGGCCGGGAGCGGTGACGCGGCAGCTGGGAGGCCAAGAGGGCTGTGGGTTGCAGCAGACGGGCAGCGCCGACCCCGCGGCACCGTGGAGCCGGCTGCGCCCCGCTGCTCCCGGGATGCCACGCTCCCTGCAGCGCTGCCTCACAATGCTGGAGTGCGGCAATGCTAAGACAAACACCTCGCCGAGCGCGGCAGATGCAGCCCCAGGTCTGTTCTGGGCATCGTGCCCGACCCGGCCACTGGCCCCCGCTGGGCTCGAGCCAGACCTGGGAGGTGGCTCCCTGGGGAGGCTCGAGCCCTGGGGCAGGCGTGGAGGCGAGTGGCCAGTCTGACCCCGCTCTGTGCCCAGGCCACAGCCGGACTCTGCATCTCAGGACCGGGCACAGCGCACTCATTGCCCCGGCCGGCCGCCCCGTGGCTGCAGCGCGCTTCCACGTGTCTCCGGTGCTTCCCAGGGCTTTCTCTGAGCTGGGCAACCGGTTTGCTTCCTCGTTCCAGCCGGGGGTGGGGGCCAGGGTGGTGTCTGTCGGGGAATGCAGGGAGTCCTGGGCCGGCCAGGCCAGGGCCCGAGGGCACCGGGAGCCACCTCCCTGCTCCTGAGCTGCCCCTGGGCAGGGGCTGTGCTGGGCAGTGGGATCCACGGCGCTGAGCTCCCCATCAGCCCCGGCTCCAGCCCACGGGACCTGGAGCCTCCCCTGTCTCCTGGCGCTTCGTGGATCCGGGTCGCTCCTCGTTCCATCCGGGGTCTGATTTATGGCCAGGCCGATGGCGCCGGGCGCTGGACCTTGGCAGAAGCCTGTAGGGCACCGTGCACCACCAAGCAGGCACCAGAGGACTGGCACAGGGCTGGCACAGTGCCTCTCTTCACAGGCGGCGAGGAGAGGCCCCGGGAAAGGACGGACCAGGTAACCTCTCCTCCGTGCCTGGGAAGACACTGGAGCCGAGCCCGAGGAAGGCCCTTTGCAAGCATCCGGAGGAGGAAGGGCTGGTCGGGATGATCTGAGCGCGGCGATGCCTGTGTTCAGCTGCGGGGATTTCCCAGGTTTCTGGGCTCTGCTGGTTGCTCTCGCCTCCTCCTTCCCCTTTTTTTCTGCTCCATGTGTCGGGGTTTTAAGCCTCCCCAGAGGCGCTGGGTTGCGGGACTGAGCTGTGCCGATGCTTCTGCTGGGACCGACCACGTGGGTCCCAGCTGGAGGGTCTTGCCCCTGCGCTCAGGCTCAGACCGACCTGCCCTGGGGGCAGGCAGGGATTTCCCCCTTGGTTGCATTGTATGGACTGTGAGGGTTTTGCCTGCCTGCGGTGCAGACTGACATCTCAGAGCAGCAGGACCTGCTTGGACTCATTTGAGTCTTTTTTTTTTTTTTTTAGGGTTTTTTGTTGTTCCCCCGCCCTGGCGGGGGGTCGGGCTAGAAGATCTATTAGGTCCCTTCCGACCCTAAAACTATGAAACTATGAAACTATGACCCGGGGCCGGTCAGGTGCGAGGTCTGTGTGCGTCACGGCTGACAGCTGCCTTATGTAGAGTTGAGATGATGTTGTCCGGGCTGGTCTGGACAGGGTTGATCCTGCTTCAGGCAGGGCTTGGACCGGACATGACCTCTGAGGGTCTCATCTGGCCCCACTGCTCTCGGGCAGCGTTCTCCACGCCAGCCCCGTGGCTCCAGCACACGGGACCTGGAGCCTCCTGTCCCTCCTGGTCTTTTGAGCCCTGCCGTGGATCCGGGTCACTCCTTGTTCCATCCGGGGCCTGATTTATGGCCAGGGCACTGGAGCTTGGCAGGAGCCTGCAGGGCACCGTGCATCACGTCCCCTCCAGAGCCAGCTCCACCCCGAGCGCAGGGTTTAAATCCAGCCGGGGCGGCTGGGGGAGCTCAGACCTGGCTCCCGGCAGCACCATGAAGCCAGCAGGCACCGTCCTCCTCCTGGGGCTCCTGGCCCTCAGGGCAGAGCTGCAGACTGTGCCCAGGGGTGAGTGCGACAGAGGGAGCAGGGGCAGGGATACGGGTACCAGACACACAAGGGAGGTGAAAGGTTTCCCGTTAGGGACCCGGAGAAGCAGCCGGGGGTGCAGGGATGGGGCTGATGGGAGGCAGCAGCAGGGCGAGGCCCTGGAGCTGTGAGCCCGCGGTGCCCTCCCTTGCAGAGAAGCCCGGCGTCTGCCCCTCCTCAGCACCCGGCGCTCTGGATCCCTGCTTCTTCCCCTGCTCCAGTGATTACAGCTGCCCGGGGAGTCAGAAGTGCTGCCTCATCCCCTGCGGCTATGCCTGCCTCGACCCCCTGCCCGGTAAGGCCAGCACCGGGCCAGTCTCTTGCACAGGGGGAGCTGGGCACTGGAGGGCAGCGTGACCCCCTCCCCATCCCCTGAGCTGCCCCCTGGGCCCTGTCTTCCTGGCTCCTGTTGCCTCCACTCCAGCAACCTCCCCATCACATGCCCATTGCAAAGTCCAGTGCCCGGCGTGGGGTGACGGGTCTGCCCCCTCCCCACCATGCCTGGCTCTGAGGCTCTTGTCCACGTGCAGCACCCAGGGACATCTGCAGGCTCCCCCCAGACCCAGGTCCCTGCCCTGAGGCCATCCCACGCTGGTTCTACCACTGGCCATCCCGGCGCTGCAGGAGGTTTGAGTACGGCAGCTGCTCCGGCAATGCCAACAACTTTGAGACCAAACGCAAGTGTCTCTGGGCTTGTGCAAGCCACGGTAAGAGCGACGGGGCGCGGGAACGGGCTGTCTGGATCCGTAGGGTCCCAAGTTGCCACCAGACCCCTTCTCCCAGCAGCTCCCCACTACCTTCGTCCCTGCCCGGAGCCACAGGACAGGTGCATGATGCCCCACGTTGTGTGTTGCAGGGCGCAGGGCCGCCTGCCCAGAGCCGCAGGGAGTGGGGCTGTGCGTGGAGCTGTGCGGGGCCGGCGGGGCTTGCGGGGAAGGAGAGAAGTGCTGCAGTAACGGCTGCGGGCACCAGTGCATGAGAGTGACAGGAGGTGCGATCTCTCTTCTCACGCCCCTCGCAGCTGCAAGCAGAGCCTGGGCCGGGCACGGGGAGAGGGGTGCACTGCGCCCCATCAGGCTGCGTGTGGGGACGTGCGGGCACGTGGGGAAGGCTGATGTGGCCCCACGCTGCCGTGGCCCTGGTCCTCCAGCCATGTGGCCATTGGTGACAGGGTGCCTGCCCCACTCCTGAGAGACGGGAGCCTGCGCCCAAGCCCCCGGGGCTCGAGGGGCTCCTGCCCCCTCCTACTGGTGCCAGGACCTGGGTCCAAGTGCCGTGGGGGGGGCCAGGCCAGGATCTCCCGGGCAAGCAGGCTGCTGCTGTGATGGCAGGCATGCAGCGCGCTCAGATGGCTTCCTCTTGACAGGGCCCCCCTAAGTGCCCGGACCACCTGGGATGGGCGGCTTCAGCACAAGATGCCTCGCCAGGACCGGACCCAGCCCCCGGAGCACCCCCGCCCGGCCCCTGTGCGTCTCCAGCTGCTGCTTGGCTCCCTGGTGACCCATGGGAAGGGGCGGTGCAAATCACTGGAGGGGCCTGAGCAAGCCCCCTGCCATGACACCCCTTCCCTGGGGAGCGGGGTCCCCCGAGGGTGCGAGTGGGGGAAGGGGCAGGAGCTGAGGCTCTGGCCATGGGTCCCTGGGCCCCTCCTTTTCCCAATAAACACTGATGGATGCGCCCAGCGCCTGGCCTCTGCTTTGTCATTCCTGCGTCTGGACCTGCCCCGGGCAGGGCTCCCCTTGCCCATGCCACGGGCCCCTCTGCAGAGCACCTTTGCTGCTGGGAACGGGGATGCAGGGCTCAGCCCGTGCACGCTTCCACTCACGCCCGGCCCCGTCGCGTGGCCAGCGCCATCAAAGCTAGGTGTGTGATAGGCACGTAAGCAGCATCAGGCCCCCCAAGAGGTCTTGGCCATTCGCTGGGGAGAAAGGCAGCTGGCGCTCTCCCAGTCGGCCCAGCCGCCAGGAGACTAAGCCGCGCGGGGCCGCCCCCAGCGGCCCAGCCCGCCGGGAGACTCTCGCGGAGCTGGCGCAGCCAGCATGCATCAGCCACGGCCCGGCTGGCGCTGCTCGCATTCAGCTTTATTGAGAAGGAACATTGTTTGTGCCAAACAATACAGGAGGGAGTGAGCACTGGCCCCACGGGGGGAGGAACGGGGGCAACTCCGGCCTTCGACGGCACGGCTAGCGTCCAGCGCGTGGTCCCACGTAGACAGAGCCCCCAGGAGTCCGCGTCTACCGCAGACCGCTAGAGGCCTGCCTCGAGCTCCTGGGCCGTGAGGGGCCGTAGCCGGGGCAGCGTGGACTGCTGCACCACCGTGATGCTGCACGGGCAGTGCCGGGGACCCAGGGTGCATCCACACGCAGACACAGGTGTGACCACGGCCTGCGCCAGCTCGGGGCAGTGGTGGGAAGCGGCTGCAGCGTGGACGTCAGGGGCGTGAGCAGGGCTGGCCGGGCCTCGCAGTGCAGGGAGCCTCGGTGCTCCACGTGCTCATGTACAGGGTTTCCTCCTCACACGGCTCCACGTCCTCGCCCTGTGCAGACCACGGGTCTGCCCCCGACCGGGCCCACTCTCTGGCCCCGTCAGAACCACCATATGCCGTAGCTGTCATCATCGCTGAAGTCATCGCCATCGTCGTTGTCGTCGCTGTAGTCGTCACTGCCGTCACTGACTTCGCCGTCACCCATGCCGTACTCGTTCGCATCGCTGTAGTCGTTCTCCGTGTCCGTGTCTGTGTCGTCAGTGTCCATTTCCATGAGGTTCAGGTCATCGTCATCCTGGCCCTCATCGCTGTCCTTCCCGTCATCGTCGTCATCGTCGTCATCGTCATCATCATTGTTATCGTCATCATCGTTGTCATCTTCTTTCTCTGCAGCCCCACCCACCTCCTCATCGTCCTCGTCTTCATCCTCATCCTTGTCCTTGTCATCGTCAGCCCAGCCATCATCCTCCTCATTGTCCTCATCTGCATCCTCATCATCCTTGGTTTCATCCTCGTAGTCTGTCTCATACTCGTCGGCATCATCAGCATCATCGTCCGCCTCGTACTTGTCATCATCATCGTCTACCCCCTGGTCCTGGTCCTTGTCGTTGTTCTGTTCATCCTCCTTCCCCGCGCCGTCTTTCCCACCAGAATCCGACCCGAACAGCGGCTTCAAAAGGGAGGGCACCAAGTTGGATATGGGATTGCTGCCAGCTGCAGGCTTATCTCTCGCCACTGGTACTACATTGGACACGGGTTTTCCAGGGAATGCAGGGATGGGGGAAAGTTTGTCTCTAGACAAATGGTTTTCACTGGACTCCGGCTTTTCACTGGATTCAGACTTATCTCTAGACAAATGGTTTTCACTGGACTCCGGCTTTTCACTGGAGACTGGCTTTTCAATGGATTCAGGCTTATCTCTAGACAGATGGTGTTCACTGGACTCTGGCTTTTCACTGGATTCAGACTTATCTCTAGACAAATGGTTTTCACTGGACTCCGGCTTTTCACTGGAGACTGGCTTTTCAATGGATTCAGGCTTATCTCTAGACAGATGGTGTTCACTGGGCACTGGTTTATCTCTAGACAAATGTTTTTCACTAGATACTGGGTTTCCAGTGGACGCAGGCTTCTCCCTACACCGGGGTTTCTTGCTGGACGCTGGTTTTTCACTGGGTGCAGGCTCTGCCCAAGGCACAGGCTTGTTGTCAGACATGGTTGTTGCCCCAAACGCAGGTGTCTCGTAGCCCAGAGGTTTTCCACTGGCCCCAGGTACCGGCTTGTCACCAAGCACACGTGTGGCTCCAGATGCTGGTTTTCCAGCGGGCACCGGGTCTGAGAGAGACGCCAGTTCTACCCCGGACGGCTCTGCCCCAACCCCAGAGGGGTCTCTAGATAGGAGCTTTTCCCTGGGCTCAGGTCCTGCACCAGGCACTGGTCGCATGGGAGCTGCAGGGGGCCCCAGGCCAGGTTTTCCAGCAGACAGGGGGTCTCCCCGGCTCCCCACCGTGCTCTGCGGTCCCTCCTTGCACTCAGGCTGGTTCTTGCACCCGGAAGGCTTTCCCCTGCACACGCAGCCCCTTGGCAGAGCCAGATGGGGGGACTCCAGCCCCCCCGTGCTTGGCTTCTTTCCTCCCACATTTGCAAGGCTGACCCCTGCCACGGGCTGTTCCCTGGACTCAGCTGCCTGCGGGGTGCGTTCCCCCAGGGCACGGCCAGGGGCAGGAGAAGCTGCTCCAGGGATCCCTGAGATGGGAGTGAAAGCAGCAGTCAGGGACCCCGAGTCCTGCAGCTGCCCCCATCCAACCCCGGCACTGCCCTCCCCCAGGCGTGGTAGGAAATGCAGGCAGCAGGTAATGGGCAGAGCAGCTTCAGTCGGATAAGGGTGAGCAGTGCCCACTGGAGAAGGCTGGAGGTGGCAGGGCCAGTGCTGGGGGAGCCCAGCTAGGAGCACAGCAGGCCCAGAGAAAGGCCTGGGGTGTGGGGACCCTGCTTCCCCAGGCAGGTTTCTGCTGCTCTGGACCCCTCTATCCCCAATCCCTCCCCCACAGCCACAGGGAGAGGATACCATCCACTCCGGGTCTCCTGGGCACCCCATGGCTATACCACTCCTGGGGGCAGCACGCGGGGCAGGGCATGGCAGGGACCCATGTGGGCTCACCTTCGGCCAGGCTCGGGTACGACGGACCCAGGACACCTGTCCCGTTGGCCAAAGGGGGCTCCTGGTGCAGTGGGGCCGGCGCCGGAGAGCGTCCATCCTGACCTGGAACAGAGAGAATCGCTGGTGATGGGCCGGCTCGGCTACTTTTGCCCGGCCTGCGTCCCAAGGAGTTACCCCAGAATGAGCCGGCGGCAGCACTCTCCTGGCACGAGGTCTGCCGGCTCGGGGTCATCTGCCCACATCCATGCCAGGGTGATGGTGCCAAGAATAAACAGATGCCGCGCTGCTCCCCCAGCCATGCAGCAGCACCGTGACAGCTGCCTGTGGCTGCGTGGGGAGAGCTGCACGCGTGTTGTGTCCATGCAGCAGCACCCAAACCCATGGGGCCATGCCCCAGGGCACGTGTGCACGACCCCAGGGAAGAGCCCCATACCTGCTGCGGCCACAGGCCTGCAAACCAGCCTTCCCCTTGTGCAGCTGCGCCTCTGCCCACTGGGACAGTCCTGGGCCCCTTTGCACTTGAGCAAGCACCTGCCGGTGAATCCTGCTCACAGCGGGAGAAACCCAGGTTTAGGACAGGTGGAGCACAGGGAGGGCAAGAGCCGGGGGGCCCGGGGGGCCTCAGTGCTGCCACATGGGCCCCCTCCGGCAGAGGGGTCTGCCCAGAGCACCTGCTATGCAGCCCAGGCAGACAGACAGACAGATGGACTGAGCAAACAGGTTTGTGAGCTCAGCACGCAGCCATGCTGCGCCCCACAGTGACCCAGATACTCTGGACAGCCCTCACTGCAAGGGCCTGCCCGAGCTCTGAGCAGCCATGGGAAGGGCTCAGAGAAGCTCTTGGGGCGGTGGGCACTCTGCAGTGCAGGCAGGTCCCTGCTGCTCCAGGAGCCGGCCGTGCCCCCGGCCCCATTTGTGCTCACAAGCCCCGAACAGAGCGAGCACAGGGGCAGGTCACACATCCCAGCGGGCCAGGGGCTGCGCCACGCGGGGGTCTCCTCTGCTGCTGTCTGAGAGGAGACCGAGGCCAGAGCGGAGGCAGCCTTGGTGCCCGGGCAAGGAACGTGGCCCGGCTCTGTACATGTCCCCAACCTCGCACGTCCCTGCTGCCTCCTCCAGTGGTGGCAGCTGCCCCGTGGCCCCGTGGCCCCTGGCCGTGCCGCACCCCAGGCTGGCAAGTGGGAGGGTGTCCAGGTGCTATTCCGGGTTGCTGGCTGGGAGCGTGGGGCAGGGCTGCCACCAAGGCATGGCCGCAGGGGAGCGCAGACAACCAGCCCCAGGCTGCTCTGGTTTCAATCCAGGAACCTGCCTCTCCGCACCATCTCCCGGAGGTCTGAAGCCTCTGGCTCTGAGTTCGAAAAGCCTCTGGCCTGGGTCCCCTCTGCCCCCACTCACGTTCTGCTGGGGCAGCCTGCAGTGCTGTCCACAGGGCGAAGCTCCCCAGGAGGACGAAGAAGACTGCCAGCTTCATGGTGCCACCAGGAGCCAGGTCTGAGCACCCCGAGCTGTGCCAGGCTGAGATTTAAAGCTCCACCCGGGGTTGCGCGTGGGTGGCAGCAAGTCAGAGGTGACGAGAAAGAACCTCCCAGAGCTGATCCCAATTGCGCACCGCTCCAGCTCCCGGCATCCTGCCCCGCCCAGACAGGAGATACCAGCAGGATCCTGGTGAGGAGGGAGGTGGCAGGCTGCGATGCCCAGAGCCACGCGCGGCTGCAGGGACCTGGCCAGGCGGGCCACGCCTCCCGATCCCGGCAGACCAGCCTCTTCCCCGCTCCGTCCCGCAGAACCCGGCTGCGCGCTGTGTGTGTGCAAGCAAGAGCCCTGGCACCCTGCACACGCTGCCCAGTCCTCACCCCACACGTGACGGTGCCTTGCCTGCCCTCAGCTCAGGCAGGTGCCAGCAGCAGGACAGGCCCTCCGTACGTTTAGTTTCAAACTAATTGTGCATTTAATTCCAACCTAATTGCATATTTAATTCCAAGATAATTGGCTTGCAACCACGAATGACAGGCTTTCCCAGGTGCTTGTGACCCTTCCTCAGGTGCTCATTGCCACAAGGCCTGCTTAAAGGCCTCCTGGGCTCCAGCCCGGGCTCAGCACTGAGACCCTCAGGAGTGGGAAGAGCAGGGCCACGTGTCCCTGCACCTTCTCCCAGGTCTGCGACTCCTTGGGCAGGGAAATGCCCACACCCAGGCAGGCCCCCAGGGCAGCTGTCCAGGCTTTTGACCAGCTTTAACTGCTTGTCTTGTCTGCCTTACAGCCCTCCTCCCGGTGCAGGCAGACCGCTGGCCTTCGCAGCAAACACCCACCTCTGTGCCCACGTCCCTTGCCCTGCCTGTGGCTGGGTCTTCATACTTTTCACATTCTCCCATCTCCTCTCCCCTCCTGCAATGGGGTGAACTCTTGTGGACAAGATGGTTGGAGACACTGAGCTGGTTGCCTCTCCAGGCACCTGTCTCATCAGTGATGTCCGTGTTGTTGCACTCCTGCCCTCCCGCGGCGCACCTGTGCTCACACAGAACTGAGTCAGGCTCCAAACACAGGTCCCCAAGCCCGACAAAGTCCCTGGGGAACCGTGGAGCAGCCTCTGCTCACTGGCCTTGGTGACCTCCGGAGGAGGAGACTGACAGAACAAAGAACAATGGTCTCAAGTTGCAGCAAGAGGAGTTGAGGGTGGATATTAGGAAAAACTTTCTCACTACGAAGGTGGCGAAGCAGTGAAACAGGTTACCCAGAGAGGTGGTGGAGTCTCCATCCTTGGAGGATTGAAGACCTGGGCAGACAAAGCCTTGGCTGGGATGATGTAGCTGGGTCAGGTCCTGCTTGGAGCAGGGGGCTGGATTAGATGCGACTCCTGAGGTCCCTTCCCACCCTCATTCTCTATGATTCTGTGGTTCTATGCAGTTTGGGGCACAGAAAATTGGCTCCCTCCACTTGCTCCTGCCTCCCCAGCTTGTCCCTCCCCCTCCTGCTTGCTGTGGTCTCAGAGCTGAGGTTCCTGGTGCCTGCCTCTCCCCGCTTTTTAGGTTCTAAGATGCTACAAGCATTCCCAGGCCCATGGTACAGTGGCCGGTACCCCCAACAGCTTCACTGTGCCCCAAGGAGGGTGCCTGGACCCGTGGGTCCCCAGTAATGCCCACTGGGGTCTTGCTCTCTGCTCTGAGCACACTGGGGCATCTCCAGCACCCTCTGACACGAAGACCAGTGCCATAACTGGATTCAGATCTGCAAGGACCTGTGGTGACTGCAGCCAGACCAGTCAGGGAGCAGGGCAAGTGGACCGTGTGGGCAAATTCATGTCAGGAAGCTGAGGAGGGTTCCCAGGCTGCCCAAGGAGGACACGTGTGGGGCCTGCCCAGGCTCTTGGCAGCAGGGAGGCAGGACCTGTGGAGCTAGCCCGTAAGAAATGGGAGAGGGCTCCTGAGACAAGATGGGACCTGGTGGCCTGGATCCAGCCCCTGATGGGCTGCTGCCCCTTCCTCCATGGTGATTTTCATGTCACGATGACCATGGGCCCCATGATGATGGCCCCTTTCAAGATGTCTGTGTGCCCCCATGTCCACCCAGCTCCATCTCTTTGCTGCACCAGCAGTGATTTGTCCCAGCCTGATGACCAGAGGAGAGGGGAGCTTGGACTCTGTGTGATGCTACACAGGCGCCAGGCTCCTGCTGCTGCCCTCCAGCCAAAGGCACAGCAGATTGACTTGGAGCGAGAATCGAAGGCTCAGCCAGCTCTGGGAACCAGAGCAAGGCAGAAATGGCCTCATCCAAAAGGCTGCACTCGGGGAGATGCTAGGACAGCAGTGCCCCAGGAAAGGCTGAGTTACCCACAGTGCTGTTATGGTTGTTATTTATTACATGCATTGCAGCAACACCCAGAGGCTCACTGCGCTGGGATGTGCCCAAACAGAGGAAAAGACCGTCCCTGCCCATGTGAGCTCACAGCCTAAGGTAGCAACGAGGCGCAGCGCGAGGGTGTATTGAATGGCAAGGCAGCGGGAGACACGAAGGATGGGCATGGTGCTGGGAACACAGGCTCCACGGAGCCGGCTGCTGCAAGCCCTTTAAAGCGACCTGTCTGTGTGGAGCTCTGCCCCAACTCACGGTGCTGCCAACGTGGCCGCTCCCGGCTCCATGCCCTCCCCTCCTCCTTGTCTCCGAGGCACATCTGTCTGCTTCTGTCTGCTTCATGCTTCTCCCTCAGAGGTTTCGCGCTTGTTTTCTCCTTCGCTTGTATTTGAGGCTGACCCTGATCACCTAGGGTGAAAGCCAAGGAAGGAGATCGCTCGTTAGCTCCTGAGGTGACAGCAGTAGCTGTAAAGGCTGCATGTCCAGCCAGCTTCATCTTACCCCCCAGATTTCGGCACGGCCCCACCTGCACCTAAACCAGCATTTGTGCAGGCAGGTCAGGGGCTGCATGCCTCATCCCCTGCTCGCAGTGCTGCGGGCAACACCTTCTGCGGTAGACACGTTCACCAGTCTACATGACAGGCCAAGGCTAAGGCTACTCTCACCCAGTGTGCTCCTGCCTGCAGCCTGATGTTGCATTTGCTGCTGGGAACTGCCGGCTTTGGGAATTCAGATGAGCACGGAAAAGTCACCAGTGATCAGCCCAGAGCTCTCTCCCTGCCTGCCCCTGCTCCCTGGGGCTCGCTCTGCCTGTAGCAGAAGGGGAAGAGTCGCCCCACCTACCCACACCCCCACAGAGGAAAACGGGGTGCAGTCTCTTTCCCACAGAGGCCTGGCAAGGGGGCAGGCCAGGCCAGGCAGGCTGCCCCCGAGCACTGATTCCAGGTGCCTTTATAGCCTCGGGTCCCATGACCAAGCAGCAAGCCTGGCACCCTCCTCAGCACCCTTCTCTTGCCTGGGCCAGACTCACACCAGGTGGGCCTCGTCATTCAGCTGGGAAACACCTTCATTCAGGTGGGAAATGAGATCTCCCTCAGAGGGGCAGCCCTGAGCTCCAGCCCTGAGCCTGGCCCTGCAAAACCCTCTGGGTGCCACTAAGACCCACCAGGATGAGGATGATGCTGAGCAGCCCCTTCCCCACGTTGAAGGCCAGCAGCCCCAGGACAGCAGCAAGGACAGGAATCAGCGGCTCCCGGCAGCAGGTGGAGTTGGGGCTTGCGCTGCCCTCTCGCTCAGAACCCCGTAGCGACGTCCCCGTGGGCGAAGTGCCCGGCCAGGGCGTTGAGCAGTCTGCAGACAAAAAAGAGGTGCATTCAGGGCTAAACCTCCCTGAGGCGGAGGGCTGGATGCAGAGTGACTTCCCAGCCTCTTCTGCTGGCAGCTGCACTCCAGCCTGGGAAAGGGGGTGTCGAGAGGCGGAGCTGGGTCTGACATGGGGCGTCCACGTCACAGCGACAAGCTATGGCAGCTGGCACCGGGTCCCAGGCACCTAGGAACTCATCTGCAGAGAGCGTGTTACAGATGATGTGGCCCCAGATCTACTCCCCTCTCCCCAGCAGGTGATCTCAGAGCACGCGGCTTGTTAACTCAGGGGTTGAACAGTTATCTTGGAGGGACCTGGGGTCACTCAGGGCAGACTCTGGCTGGGTGTGTTCTGAGCAGAGATATGTTTGCCTTTGTCCATCCCTGCTTAATTACCATGCTGGGGTTATTAACAGGTGGGCGAGGGGGAATGGCGATGCACCACAGGCAGCTGGGGGACAGGCTCACTCTGAGACGAGGGGCTTCAGAGGCAGCTCACACCCATGTGGCCTGGGCCCAGGGCCGCCCTGGCAGGAGCAAGGCAGGGCAGGAAATGGCCTGAAGCGGACGTTCTCTCTAGTCCTCTGGCCCAGGACGGGGCACCTCCCACGACAGTGACAGAGGAGAGGGCCCAGGCTCAACTCGATGAGCTGCCTCCGGCCAAGCTCCTGCGCAGGCACTAGGACAGATGTCGGCTCTGGAGAGGGGGACACGTGGCCAGGCTGGTGAGGAAGCCTGTGTGGGAAGGGGCAATGCAGGAAGCCGGTTTAAGTACAGGTTTGCTCCATGCATCCTGGCCTTGGATCAATTCTGATGCCGTGACTCAGCAATCCACCTGCTTCCGCTGCAGTCCTGGCAGCCCGTGGCTCTCTCCAGATGCTGCTTGTCCCAGCATGTTGCTGCTATTACCCCTGCTTGGACCAGGGGGTTCATTGCTCCCACCGGCTGCTGGAGGCTGTGGAACAGCAATGACGGCGCGCTCCCAACCTGCCTGGCTAATGAGCTCAAGCAGAAAACTGCCCCCATGACAGTGGCAACCTCTGAGCCGCAGCAGGGCTGGACACAGTCATGGGCGAACCGGGTGGCTGCCCGGGGCCTGGGCAGAAAGGGGGCCCAAAAATGGCAAGTTTTTAATTATTATTATCATTATCTCTGGTGAAGGGAGGCTCAATACTAAAAGGCCACCAGGAGTCTAGGTACAGTGCACACGGCATAGCTCCTCGTTCGTCCCTGCAGCTCATTGCTGCCTGCGAGAGCCCCTGGCTGCAGGAGGCCATGCTAGGGATGCCGTTCCTTCCCAGTCATTTGGGATCAAAGCCCCGTCTCTCAGGGGGCCCAGGCACTTTTCTCAAGTGCAGGGTGTTCACGTTGGGCTCCTGGCCAGGTCCAATGCCAGGAATCCCACTAGCTTCCTAAATGCCCTGGATTTTTCAGGTGGGACCAGTATTTCCCAGCAGCCTTGCTGGTGGCTGGAGCACTACATGGCCGGGACTGCACCTGCTGGCCAGGGGAAGTGACACCACTCTGGGGGCATTATCAGTGGGACCGTGACAGCCCATGCTGGCATGCTAGGGCTGAGGAGGGCCATTATTCAATTACGCTTGTAATTATTTCAGCAAGGAGCTGCATCCATTTCCTCCCACCTGCTGCAGGGCAGTTGCAAAAGTGACTGTTGAGGCAAACAGAGGGCCACATCCCGCTGTGGTAGGGCAGGCGTGACTCACTGGCTCTCCATACGCCAGGGCTGTTTGATTGCTAGGTGGAGAGTCCTGCCGGAGTTCACTTCTCTGAACCACAACAGTCAGCACGAATAGCTGGCCACGGGCCCGTTGTCTCTGGGGCAGCTCCACTGTTTACACACAGTGTCATGTCTCATTTTGTTTCATTAACTCCATGACACTGGCACACACAACGCAGGCCAAGAGGTGGATCGCACAGACCCTGCCTCATCAAGTAGGACTTGCTTTTTTTAAATGCAAAGAACAAGATCATCCCCTGGTAGCATGCAGAGGAGGAAACTTCTCCCCCCTGATAGTACACAGAGGAGGAAACCCTCCCCCCAGCACACAGAGGAAGAAACCTCTCCCCCTCACCATGTGCGGCTGAGCATGGGCTCCTAGGTCATACAGCAGCAGGCATGGCGGGGTTGACCAGAAGAGTTCAAAGGGGTCTTGGGGGTCCTTCCCCCTCCCTGAAGCATGAGAAAAGGAAGAAGGGGATGGTGACTCCAAGGGCCAGGTATCCACTGCCCCGTGTGAAGGGCAGCCCCTGGGAAATACTGTGAAATAAGCAGCCGTTTTGTATCAGCGAGGCTGGCAGCTGTCCCAGATGCCGTTATTTTATTGCCCCTACGCCCTCTTTGTGCCACGGGAGGGGGAAGCTTGGGGACCCGTGTCTGCTGCCTGCCTGCTTTCCAAGCTCTTTACATCACTGTGGTGCCTGGCCTCTGGTGCCTGTGGTTCTGGCCTAGCTGCCTCACCTGATACCCGCAGGATGACGTCTGCCTGCTGATTGAAATGTCCCACATTGGCCCAGAGGGAGCAGCGATAAGTGCCAGCGTCCTCTGGCCGGACCTTAGGAATGACCAGCGACTGCTGCTCGTCCATCAGGAACGGCCGCTGGATCTTGTCATACACCGTCGTCCTGTTCTTGAGGTTCCGAATCAGCCCCGTTTCCTGACTGTTGTTGATGACCTGCACGCAGCAACAGGATCCCGTTAGTGCATCGAGGCGCGTGGCACAGCCCGGCACACCGGGCTGTCGGTTAAATTAGGGCAGAACAGACCAACTCCCATAGCTGGGCATTAACATCTTCTCATGCATCTGCCTGTGGCATTGCCTTACGCTCACCCAGCCACGCAGCACGTGTAAACCGGGCAGAGGGGCTCCCAGCACGCAGCAGCCAGCACTTCTCACAGAGCCAGCTGGGATATGGCAGCAGGCACTGCCGCGGGGGTCTCTCTGCACCCATGCACCCATAATCCCAACTGTCCATGGCCACTGAAACAAATAGAAGGAGCCCTGGATACCCCTCTCCCCCTCCAGCCAGTCCCCATGTGCACCGGCCCTGAGAGTATGCAAAGAGCTGTGCTGCAGTTTAGAAAAGCGCTGGCTCTTCGGAGTGGTTGAGGACACGTGCTGCCTCTCTGGGAGGGCGCTACCTTGTACCAGCCGCTGGCCCAGAAGTTCTGCATCCCTTTGACAGCAGGAGGGCAAGGGAGGACTGCTGCTGCCCCGCACTGGCTGTCCATAGACACTGCTGCCACTGCTGGTCTTTGCAGGAGGAGCCACAGGCAGCCAAGAGCTGGAAGTGGGAAGAGAGACTCAGTTAGGAGTGCAGCCTTGAATCCAGGAAAGGCTCCCCACCCACCCCCTCCGAGAGGGAGCTCTGCACACAGGCTGCAGTCCCCACCGGAGGATGCTCTGCACCGCGGAGAGGGGCAGGCGCCGTTGCAGGTTCTAGCACCTCCGCCCTCTGCGGTGGTGCTGGCACTGCCGAGCTCCAAGCCTCGGGCTGAGGTTTCACAGAGCTGCGAGAAGGTTCCTGCTGCCTCTCCGGGTTGTTTTGAATCATTTTCAAGAGACAGTTGACCTTTAAAGCCCCTTGGTGCAAGCTAAACAAGGCTCTGGAGCAGCCCACGACTGATGCACTGTAAGGCAGAGCCACCCGCCTGTGCTCTCCGATCTGGGCGGCACCGGCCAGCCTGAGGGCCTAAAACGAGGTGTTACATAAAGTAGCCTATTGCTCAGGTCCGGCGCACCTGCTCTTCCTCCTGGGGCAGAGGCGGCGACAGCACCACTGAAAATCAGGATGCTCTGATTTCAGTACTGGACGCCAGGCCCCCTGAGCCGGCACATTTCAGCCTCTTCCTTCTGCCTGTACTTGCAGGTGTCGAATCTTACTGAAAGCTCCCCGGCTTTCACTGGGACAGCTCACCCCATGGAGCCCCCTTCCCTGCCACAGGGCCAAGGCTTGGGGGCCCTTGGCTCAGCTCTGTTTGGGACTTTTCACCGAGTCTTGAATGCAGCCGGGTGCAGCTGATGTGCTGTTACTCAGGCCCGGTCCAACCTGAAAGGTTCTGCTAGCAAAGCTGCAGCACTTCGCTGTGCTAATGAATCACATCTGTGATCAGCGCAGCTCTGCCAGCCAGAGCACTAGCACGGTGCTCTTTCACTAGCCCCACACTCCTTTGGCTGGTACAGAAACCACTGGAACTCTTTCACTAGCCCCACACTCCTTTGGCTGGGACCGAAACCACTGGAGCAGCCAGAGCACTCTTCCCCAAGCTAAGCTGGACCCAGAAGGGTGACTTGCCAACGAAGCAGCGCAGGCAGCCTCTTCCCAACGCACATCAGGTTTAGTACCCCAAAATGTTCAAGAGCAGCAGCAGCACCGAGAGCTGTCACGGCCGCGCTGTCCTCCGGATGGGCTCGCTCTGTTGCGCTGAACCCATTCACGTCCAGAGAGGAGCTCACAACACTGTTAGCAGACACAGTGGGCAACGAGCAAAGGGACCTGCTGCTCCAGCCGTGCTTGCCAACACCATCCAAGTACCTCCCGGGTTCTGCTGCGGTCCAGATACCGCCTCGGTGACCACGGTCCCAGAGCACCTTGCGACCGGTAAGCTGCTCGCCCTCTCCGTAGCCTCTGGGAGGTGGGAAAGCACTTCTGTCTCCTGCTTCCAGATGGAGACCAAGGCCCAGAAAAACAAAGTTTAGGGCCGGAAATTGTATCTCAGAGCATCTGGCACTGAGCACAATGACACAGAGAACTGGGTGCCATCCCAGCTTTTGCTGGTGCCTTCAGGGCCAGCTCTTCGTCAGAGATGGAAAACTGTGACTTTCACTCCAAACTGGAACCTGAAACCTCGCAGCTCCGTACACGCAGTCTCTGCATTATACTCTGCAGACTCTGCCCGCAGTTGGTGACCTTCTGCAAATGGTTTTTACAAAAAAGGATTGTGACACGGGAATGATCAATTAAGAAGATCAAAGGAGAACCGTGGTTCTCCATCCTCTTTCCTGCAGGCCTTCAACTGTTTGAAAACTGCTAGCATGCCCCCTTCAATCTCCTTTCCTCCACACTAAACAGCCTAGCTCTCTCAACCCTTCCTCACCTGGCTGCGTTTCAGCCTCTCTATCGTCTTTCTTGCTTGCTTCTGGATCCTCTGCGCTTTCTGCACATCCTTCCTAAAGGGACTCCGTCACACTGAGCTCCTCAAAGTACTGAGACAATTTTGACTTCTAATCCTGCCCTCCTAAGTTTCTGCCCCCTCTAAAAGCTTGGTGTCATCTGGCATCTTCAGAGGCGTGCTCCGTCTTCCACCATCCAGGTCATTCGGGAAAATACCGAATAGCATCAGACTAAGAAGAAACTCCTGCGATACAAGGCTCTTTTGGGCTACGTCCTTCCAGTCTGACAGCGAACAGGTGCTAACTGCTCTTCGACTATGGCTTTTCAATGTTATGGGCACAGCCAACATACAAACAATACGTGAACCAACAGTCATAGAGGAAATGCTCTCATTTAATTTGTTTTTAGAAATAAATGTACCCCCTCCCAAGTTGCAGCCCCCCAGACACGTAATAGCACTCTCCCTGGATCTTAACATCAAGTGCGTTCAGGGAGCGGTGCATAGTAGCGGCACGAGACCAAAACCTTTGGCTTCCTGAGAGACAGCCTGTCCCGTGTTTCTCTTCCCCAGCACCCAGGTGCCAGTGACAAGACGAGGAGGAAGTTACCAAGTGAATAAATTCCTGATGAGGACTCACCCAAGGGCAACATCTGCGCGGTCTGGGCGCGTGCAGGGGCCAGAGCTCCTGAGCCTCGAGCTTCCTGCTCTGCTGAATGGAAAGCAGTGGGCTTGTTTATGCGGAAAATGAAAGCTGGCTGTTGAAGCCTGCGATACCCAGTGTAAAGTACCCGCTGCGGGTGAGGAAACGGGTCACAGAGTCCTCAGCTTGTGGTGAGCAATGCGTTAGATTGGCACCCGGCACCAAAGGGGCGTGCGGGCTCCCCTCACGTCCCCACAGCCAGCTGTCTCCCGTTCGCGCTCGAGCATCCTCTTGCCTGCTTATTCCGCCAGGCGCGCCCTGTCACCCATACGGCCGATGCTCTCCCCTTCCTCCAACTGCTCCACAAAACCCCGGTCCGCCTGAACCCGCACAAGCGAGGAGGCTTTGGAAGTAAACTGCGCTTTGGAAACAGACTTTCCGATGACTCGGAGCCGGGCCGCGCCGGGCTGCCTACGCTGGGCTGCTGCACGCAAAGGACCAATCCTGACCCAACCGAAGTCGGTGGCAACGGTCCCGCCAACTTCAATGGATACGGGCTCCAAACCTCATCCGGTGCATCAGTCCTTCCTATCGCTGCCTCTTCTCGAAGATCACAAAATGCCTCGCTGACCGCGCGCTACATCTCGCCCGCCCTTTCCTCCCGCGCCCACAAGGCCGGCGACGCTGCAGCGGTGGAAATTAGACTGGCTCTCGCCACACGCAGGCCGGCAGGTTTGGTCGTCGCATTATCTCCCGAGTGCCCCCGAAGACGAGGCTCGCCCACCCGGGTCCCCACCCTGCCTAACACGGCACGGCGCCATAACAGGTCTCCAGTTGGGAGAGCAGACCTCGGGGGTGTCCCACCGCGCCGGAAGAACCCAGCCCGGTCGCTCACCCCCCCCTGCGCATCCAAGGGATCAG